ATTGAACGACATCGAGAGTCGTCTTACTCTGACTGGAAATTTAGATTTAGTGATGTCTCTCCAGATGTCCAAAACTTTGGCGTTTTTAGTCTTGATTTTGGATCATGTCTATTTTTATGGTTTGCGAACTCAGTCTTGGTTTTGGTATCATGGCGACACGCTAGGTTAAAGTTGAACATTGGCACACTTTTTCTTTAAACAGTACTGTTTGTTAGTTTGCCATAATTTATGCGCGAAGCAATCGCCTATCTTCTATATTAAACTAGATCGAATAGACGACCTGTAATATAGTGTGCAAATTCCAAAAGAAAATGTTTAAAAATCGAATTTAGTATTGAACGCAGCATATAGCTCACAAGTGGGTAATGCTTTATAGCCTTCACGCACATAATTTCTGTGCCATGAACGTAATTATATGGTCATACTTAAAGCAACACTTGAATTCCTGTCATGATCACCTTTCAATGAAACCAACACATTTATTATTTAATAAGCAACAATAAATTGAACTACAATTTATGCAAAACACCAAGATCGATGTTCAAGTGCGTTCCTATATCGTCGTACACACACATAGTGGTCATGGATTACCGAAAAAATTTTAAATGGAACTTTTACTGCAAGGTAAAGGTTATAACCTTGTCGCCGGAACGCAAGTTTATAATAAGATATGTCTTAAATAATTTGTCCTGTGCTGTTCCGAAACAGAAAAAAAATCTGTTTTTTTTTCTGCGAATTGAAGCAGGTGGTTTCTAAAAGTAACTAGGGAATTCAAAATAAAGAAAAAACTTTTTTGGATACCACTCATCAAAACAGTAAGTTGCCTAGTCAAGGCCATGGAATTTTAAAAGGGTATCTAAAAATCGTCGATTCTCATTTTTTTATATTAGAGCAAATTTACGAACTACCTTGTATTAAAACTAACTTATTCTACATCCAAAACTGCTTTGAAAAGTTAATTCCAGAAAAGTAATGCGTCATCAACTTTACAGAATTGTTTGAAAATTGACAACAAACCGCGTAATCTAGCCAGAAATTTGATATGTAGATACATGGTGTCCCAAATTTGACGTGACCGTAGGAATCTCATCATTTTCTAGGAAGCGTTACAATTGACCACAAAATGTACAACTTTGCCTGTATTAACCGATTTCGTATATCTTACAGTTTCCGAGATCCCAATATTTCGAGAGTAACCTGTTGAATTTGGGACACCCTTACATGCCCAATGGACCTAGAGTCACTACCCTTTTCGCGGAATTGTTCTAATTTGAGTGGTTACCACATATACCACCTGCACACCTGCACATGCGCGATTCTGCCTTTTTATATCTAATGTATATTTAGTTAGAATCGATTTAGCCGTTTAGCCGAAAATGAGAATTTGACTTACCTGCGCATGCGCGTGTGGGTGGTAAAAATCAGTCCTGTTGATGTTAATCTTCAAGCTATTCAGCAAGATATGGTACTATAATTATAAAGGTTTTCTTACTTCTTCATCCTGAGGGGCGGGTCAGAGTTTGATTATTTTTTAAATATGTTTGATTTTGTATACTATTTTAAATCACTACTATGTGCACAATCAGATATTTATATTGTTTAAACAGTAGCAACATAATTTATGGAGAATTGTTGTGTTATAGTAACGTTGATTATTAGGGAGTTACAATTTGTTTGATATTTAAAGCTAAATAAGTTTAGATAAGAAAAATTCCCCAATACATACGAAGGAAAATACTATTTTAATCTTTTTAATCTCTTCATATGGAGCTTTAGGAATTTCTGTAACGAAGCACTTGGTTTCATACCTGAAGTAATGACCACACCGTATATTTGTGGTCTACCAGCTTTGCTGGAACACCCGGTATCTGGATGCAATTAAAATTGGACGAAGACTGTTGCTCCTTAAATATTTAGTTCCGTTTTAGGAGTTAGAAATAGAAGGGACAAAGTAATGGTCCTGCTTTTGATTTCTCGTAATTAATTTCATAAAGAATTATCCTCCTGTTCAGTTCATTCGAGGACACGCGTTATATTATTATTACTAAGAAGGTGGTTAATGCGAGTATAATTTCTTAATGTGAATAATTGGGGGAGGGGGGAGGTAAGCTGTTTCTATGCTCTATGCACAATTTGCTTTCTCTAAAATATCTAAATCCATTATCCGAAAAAATACCAACTTGTCAAGTGGTTACTTTTTAGGGTCATGTTTTCGCCTTGGTTCGAAGCAATTCGACCACAATTTTAATGAAATATAACGAAGCACCCGTTTTCGTATATGGAATTAGATCAGAATTAATGAACGCACCGTACATTTATGAAAGCTACCAGCTTTAATGAACACCCGGTACTTCGGAGAATAGTCGCTTGCTTACAGGAAATTGTAGTCCGGACCTATGGATTTCTTTCCTAGGAGTGGAGAAACAGAAGGTAAAAGTAATGATTTGGTTTATAGAGCCGTTTTAACCGCTGATAAGGCAAACCAGCTGTCGAACATAATTGTAAAGTTTTAATTGTTCCCGTAGATATGTAACCTATTTTTGCAGTACCCAACAGCCTTCGGCATGAGGAGGAAGAAGAAGGATTTCAGTTCCGTTAATTAGGTAGTAGTCATGGGAATTACTGAGCTACCGAATTTTTAAATTTTAATCCTGCCAATTAAGTGAGTATAGTTAACCGTATTTAATTAATTGTGTGGCAGCAAACTTAATCTAAGTGCGCTTCTTTATTATAGATTTTGAGGTATGTCCAGTGGCGGATTTAAATTTTTGCGCCCCTAGCTACACCGAAAGATATGCGCCCCTCCAAAAATAATCTTTAAATGGCAATAAATTTTAAGATGCTAATAAAAATCACATTATAACTTGAAATTTTTAAAACTAATATGAAATGAAATACAGTACACCTAAGATTAAGTATTCACACACGTCAAAACTTGAATTGTCGATTACCGTTCTTACAGTTACAGTTTGTTTAAACTATCTACCAATTCCAATATATTTCATAATTTTAATTAAACATTTTTGTCATTCGTAACTTGTTATAGGGCATAGGCGACTTATTTTAAAACATAAAATGTTACCTAAAATGAATGTAGTGCAAAAATGCCACCCCGTAAAGCTGCCGCCCCTAGGCACGTGCCTAGCGTGCCTATATGTCCACCACTGGGTATGTCCCAGATTTGTAGGATTAACAATTATAGCTCCATTGTTTTCTGCGGAAGCCTGTTTGGACATTGATAATTCCCTGACTACGAGCTGATTCCTTTTTAAAAATTGAGTTAAATTTTAACATTGACAAATTCCATCCTCCACGTAAATGTTCCTTTAATTTAAAATCACGTAATATGAATACTATTGTTAATGTAAGATTGTCCGATTAATCAACAATGTTTCTAATAAAATGTCCTATACTTAAACGTCTCTGTGGTTTTTGATAGATAGTTTCATGTAAGTTATGTGGGGTGTTTATTCTGAGATGTACGTTTGAATTTTAGTGTTCTGGGGGTGGACTTTAAACATTTACGTAATCTGTCATAAACATTTATGTACTAATTTATGAGATGTTAACGTGTTTCATCTTTGATTTCAAAGAACATTAATATTATATGGCACTGTACGAAGACAGCTTCAGATATAGAATGCAACGAGGAATGCAATGACTTGTGTAACGATATTATAACAATTAAGATAGCTGCCAATTTTACTAGTTGTATCCTGTTAACGTTAAAGCTACATTTCCATTCTCAACTGAGGAACAGAAGAATCATATTTCTTAACTATTAACTAACCCTCGAACTAACCTGACGTCCCTGACAAGTTAGGAACTAAATGATAAAGCTAATTTTAACAACCTCCACCTTTAGGTGAGTTTTTTGTTGTTAAAATATTTGTTGCTACTTGCTTGTCTAAATTATAGACTCTAGGCTGGTGTGTTGTGGTGATACCAATTTATCACAAATCGCCAAGAACGAATATATTTTGTTTGACATTTAACTGCCGGCATACTTTTTATTTATCGTCGTTCGAAGACTTAAGTGGGTATTACCACAGCTTTGAGCGTTTTACCCATGGGCAAGACGCTGACTTCAAACCCACCGGCAAAATTTTAAGTGTAATCGAGCAAAACTAAGTGGGTAAGACGACATCGTCAAACCCAAGCAACATCCGACTTGTTGGATAATTTACGCTGCCGCTGCGATATGACGGCAAGTGTGATAGGTTTTGTGGGCAAAACGGCGCCTTTTTCTGTTTTGCGCATGTACCTACAATCAGCTGACTGCGTGTTTGGGTTATTCGTAGCTCTTTATCACGTTTAGACAGAAATTTTCGCACCCATATGCGTTTCTTCTTCCTTTTCTTGCGTAATTTTAAAATACTGTATAAACCATATAACATTAACAAATCATCATATTCGCGTTCATGCATTGTGACAACTGTTCAAAAACTGACAGCGGTGTCGCTGTGTCTTTCCCACCATCGAGCACCACGTTAAGTCTAGATGCAAAACGGTAAATGTAATCATGATTTAAAAACAGCGTTTTGCCGGTGGGTTTAAAGTCAGCGTCTTGCCCATGGGTAAAACGCTCAGTGTAATACCCACTTTAGGGAACCTCGGTTATTTTGGATAGTATCATTAGATTACGACTTTAGTGTCTGGGACTAACCTCCGGAGTTTAAAAATCTTCGGGCCAACTTGGCATACCACATATAAAAGATTTCATTCTGGACTGTTTGGTTTAAATTTCTCAAAATTTGAAGGATTAGTTATTTGTTATATATAACTATTTCATCTAAATAATTTGTAATGATACGCTTTTTTTCGGATCATGGAACTGATTACCATTATCACACAGAGAATTAATAATCTAATAAGCACTAGAATTTCTCATCAAAATGTTTAAACGGTAGGTAGATGATTGTTTTTGAAAACTATTATGAATGAAGATCACATGATGGTACACATACCAACTTTTACCACATAGGTACATACAAACTTACCTTTGGGCATTCCACATGGCGCTTTCGTTCTTGAATTATCCAAAAAGTCCAAATCGTATTTCCTAGCGGGCGGATAAGTTAATGCCACATGACTTCTCGTGGGAACTGGCAACACTTGAAATATAATTGCGAAAAGTGCGAAAGAGGCGCGTAAATGCCTCATTTTCTAATATTCACTATAACTATCACAATTATTTAACACTATCATCACTTAGCACCATCACTTCTCTTCGGTTTCTCCATCAGATCTGCAACATAAAATTAAGTGTAATTATTGGAAATAATAATGTAATTAAAAGAAGCGAAATTTTCACGCGCCTTAATACATTACGCGCCCATTTTGTCTATCGATGTAATAGCGCGTTGGAATGTGCGTCTCGCTATAATAGACAAACTTTCGCTAACACCGAAGTGGTCGTATCTGGTCGATCTAACAGAATATAGAAGAATGTTGTAATGGACTGCAATCTCTACAGTAGGTATAACAGGTTCATGGAGATTTCATTTCAAACCACGCACCTGCGTTAAGAAACAATTTGTATGCCGCAATGCGAACTAATTTCCATTTTTTTAAAATCCTGGATGACCTGCAATATGGCACAGAGTGGATTGTTTCTAGTTTTGTTCGCTCTTTCTATAATTAAACTGATTAAAATCCAATTGAATTGTTTAGACACGGCGATTAAGTTATGGGGGGACCATGCCATTGATAATGTTTGATTGTTTGGTCACAGAACGATGCCTGAAAATAAGGAAACATGTGCCGGAAGCGTATTACGATTTCTCTTCCGAAAGTTTCGCCTCAGGTCTCAGACGTGTCCGTAATCCGCAAAGCTTCCAGTCAATGAATTAAAAAAATACCAGTTTACTGCAAGTTGTAATAATAAATTTCAACGGAAGTTCTATTTTTCACCCATAAAATCAGTCAAGTAGTACGCTTACTAGCCATAGCGAATTAACCGAATGTGAACTTAATTTGGTACGATTATTTACGTAGGCTTATGAAATTTGTCATAAGGCCATCGGGCCGCACCTAAATTTTCTATTTGCACAACGCATTGCGAATTAAACTTGCAGATATGATATTTTGTAAACGTCGAGCGTATAAAGAATTGTACGTTTGTCGCGGAATTTAATTGAAATTATGCAAGCAAAACGATATGTGGGAAACGGACCTTTCTTTGCGGATTACCTCCACAATAGGTAATAGTAACAATCTTGCCTAACTGTGTTACTGATTCCCAGATTAATGAAAAAATTAAAAAACAAAGAAATCGTGAAAGGCGGGTTAAAAAGCAACTTGTTCAATTACTAAAAACAGTAATAAAGAGCAGTCGTTGACACAACAAAAGGCCGCGATGAAAGCATGATGTGTGTGTGTATTATAATTTTTCCGTGGAAATTGCTTTTAAATGCTAATTGTTTGATGTTTCACATATTCATGATACGAGAGTAAAGTTCTACCCGTTGAGAGAAAGTTAGAAACAGTGTGTATCAAAAGGTTCTGGGTCCCTAATTCAACATGAGATTTTATTGAGCAGAATCCATTAATTTCGAACTAGCGTTTTGGATATTCCGATACAAAAGTCCAATTGTATTGTAAAAAAAAGCGTACCACCATCCAATTTTACAACTCGCTGCTACATTTCCAAAGAAGAAAATCATCTGTTATGGGAGAGTATTTGTACACATTGATACATCTAAATCTGTTGAATTTTTTGTATTGTGTCAAAAACTGAAGGCGATTTTTTTGGGGATTTTGTATAAGAAATTTGCGCTTGAAGTCATTGTAATTTATCTCGTGCGTACAAATTTGTGTATCTTTTATGCACGATAAGCGAACCTAGACCAAAGATATTGGTACATTTTTTCTCATTAATTGTGAACCATTCAGATGCGTGTAAATTCGATTTTGATTAGAATTTTGTACCTGGTATTGGAGTAATTATAAATTGTAAAAAAATTTAGGTAATTAATTAATTAGGTTTGAATGTGATCACGAGACTTGGTTCAATTGGTTTAATCTTAATAAGAAAATTTTTTTTCCGGGTCGATCTGAGACAATTTTTTTTTCGGGCCTCAAAAAAAGGCAGTGTATACACTTCCTTTTTTGCCAAAAATCGACTACACCAAAATTTCTCGGGTAAGCACTTTTTCATATTAATTTTGGTGCGTAGAATCCAAAACAATTCGTACTTTTTCGATTAGACTTCTCAATATAAAGTTATAGACTAGAAACCAATTTCGAAAGAAAATTCAAAGGGCTGTAACTTTTGAACTAGTAAAAAAAAACGAAATCGGCAAATTTTGGTTTTCCTACAGAAGTAATCAAAATTTTCTGAAGCATAACTCTTTAATTGCGGATCTGCTTTTGGAGATCCCCATGATAGTACGTCCTTATCTTTGACACAGTGTATAACAACTTACGCAAACTGCAGAGATCTCAATATTGGTGTTAAATTCATCTTTCACTTATAGCTCTTAACCCCACATTAAAGTTTGTGGCGGCTTAAATCAACCATCAATTTCTTCTCATTACTTAATCGTATACTCGTGTATTTTTATTTTTTTAATATCCCATTCGAATTGATTGAAATTATGGATTTTTCCCGAGAAATTTTGGTGTAGTCGATTTTTGGCAAAAAAGGAAATGTATACACTGCCTTTTTTTGAGGCCCGAAAAAAAATTATCTCAGATCGACCCGAAAAAAAATTTTCTTATAGAATGTGGCCTGTAGAATCCATAATTTCAATCAGTTCCAAGATTGGGCTACTAGTTCAAAAGTTACAGCCCTTTGAATTTTCTTTCGAAATTGGTTTCTAGTCTATAACTTTTGATTGCGAAGTCTAATCGAAAAAGTACGAATTGTTTTAAATTCTACGCAACAAATTTAATATGAAAAAATGTTTTCTCGAGAACTTTGGGTGTAGTCGATTTTTGGCAAAAAAGGAAGTGTATAACACTGCCTTTTTTTGAGGCTCGAAAAGAAAATTCTCTCAGATCGACCCGAAAAAAAAATTTTCTTATAGAATGTGACCTGTAGAATCCATAATTTCAATCAGTTCCAAGATTGGGCTACTAGTTCAAAAGTTACAGCCCTTTGAATTTTCTTTCCTTACAAATTACAATCAATTTTGCAATTTTTGATTTTTATAAAAGTCACAAATTACATTCTGTAGAATAATGGTTTATTTTGTTGCTGAACATTAGTACTTACAGTCTTGAAAATTGAGTTTTGGAATGTGTGTTAATCAATACTACCGTTATACTCGCGACAGGATTTCCAAAATGATGACAGTTTGAATTGCGAAATTCTATGTACCTAACAGTTTTTTTTTACCAGCACATTGAAGGGAGAGTATATAAATGCCATTTCGAATTTGTCCAATTAGACATATTTCAATGAGCTGAACGACATGAGTTAATTAACATTGTTAGCTGTTGCACAATCTGAGACATTCTTAAGCAATAAATTTTGTTCTATTCACTCATATCTAATGAATTAAACTTTACGTAACACTTCCCATCTATAATTTTATTCAAATTGCATATATGAAAGTGCGTAATCTCCCAAGTCGGCGGTGTTCTTTTCGGTGAAAGTACTTGTGTTTTCGAGAGTCGATTGTCGTTAATCGTTAACATTCACGCATTGTTTAATTACGCTTAAGGAATTAATTTTAATAGAGAATTAGTTAAACACATTCACGCGTAACAATTTTTTTCCCGCATAGCACGAAGTGAAGTACAGTTTGCAGTACCAGCTAAGCTACTTATAATAACCGACAGATTAAAAAGGGTTTTTACATTAATCACGTTGATATTTCATTATTCTGAAAGTGTTAGGTAAAAGCTTTTTTTATCGCAATTTCCTTAGGTTTATAACTGGGTCATCCGCGTTGTTCATTTAAGTGCATGGCAAGTACATACGTTTAGTATACGCATATATATATATTTCGATGGTCGTTTGATAAGTGTCCTGTTTTGAAATAAATTCCATTGATATATTGCCAAAATATGCCTCATATTTCGAAGTAGTTCTTTCGCAGTTTAACGCCCTTTAGCCAGCGAACCCCGAGATCGCCGTCCCGAGCTGCTGTTCCTCTGCCTCCTCAAAATAGGTGTTCGGCCGCTCATCCACCTCGTCGTACGTGGAAAATCTTTCTCCAGCAACACATAGATAGAATACATTGAGTTCTAACGCCCTAGAGCCACATCTTACTATTGCCAGGTGTTAGGGTAAGATCTGTGTATGGAATTTTTTCATGAATAAGTATAGCCGCCCCACCATAACGGCCGTTTCGATCACACAAAATGATGTTGTAGTACTTGAATTTAATTTTGTAGCCTTCTTCATACCAAGTTTCAGACAATAAGGTGATATCGACTTTGTATTGTCTCAAAATAAGTTCCAAACTAACTCTATTGGATGTATCTGATAGCATATTCCATTGAACAACGTTTAACCTCTGATTTTGGATATTGTTTGGGGTTTAAAAGGCATAATTGGGAGTGTGAAATGGGGCTGGATTCTTCAAGCAGTTTAAATCCCTGATATTCACTGTCCTGTGAAGAATTCGAACTTTGATCGGACATATCGAAATCAGTTTCTAACGATAGGGATAGAATTACTCTTTTCAACCTAGCTTTGAGTTGAGTGTTTTAACTAAGCGTCTTAGTTACATTCGTTCATGAGTTCCATTAAATCCGACAAATCTTAACATACCTACCTGTAAGGCTATCTCAGTAGTATTTTTTTCCCCTTTATGCTCATCAAAAACTGGAAAAATTCCTCATAATCAATTACTGTGTCCGCGCCTTCAAAGAATCCCAAAAATTTGGCGTAGAGTTCCGAGTCATCCGGAATCGTTAAACCAGGGTTTGCTATTTTGGCTTTTTTAATTGGTTTTCCAACGTTTTTTGACAATTTACCTCGTATGAGTCTGTTGAGGATGGAGATGACCTTTTGGGGGACGATATAACTTTGGTATACTGCAAAGGTTGTTGTGATGCACAATATCCATTACAGTTGGATGTGGCTGTGTCGAATGAGACTTTGTAGTGCATGGAGTTGAGATCCCGTGGCTACCGCGCGTTTTATGTTGGGAGGAGAAGGTTCATTAACCGAATTTCGTAATGGAAACGCGGAAAATTGATGTAAGGGCGCACACATCAACGTAAAACAAGCACTAAAGCGTACATAGGTATTTGGGGATCCATGCATTTTAAAGAGGATTAAATTGATTACCT